CCTCGTACATTTGGTGTTCTATTGTAGCCATGATGTTCTTCTAAAAATATGAGTATTTCATGCATTTAGAAATCCATCATTATGGAAAACAGCAAAGAGCAGGTCATTTTTCACCTGGGCTGCAGAGGGGAACTTTGAGGACGAATTCATGTACAGTATTGCTCCCGAGCTACAAAAACATTTATTATTTAGCAACAGCAAATCAAGTGATCATTCTGGGCAATGTTTCACTTTCAAATTCCATGGTGTTTAGAAGCAAGTTCCATAAGGATTACTGTTCAGTGATTTAATTTCAACTAATCTGATTTGAAGATTTAGTGTCAATGGGCAACTAACTCAACAGAAGTATTGTCAAGCCTGCATGTTTCTATTAGCATCTTTCACCTGGGTGTTAATTGAAAAAAATTAAGCCAATACCTTATTATCAATATGATACAACACTGTGGAAAAAAAATACAGAAGAAGGATAGTATCACACATGATTAAACATTTCGCCATAATCATGACCATATAACAAGAAAAATGGGGGGGGGGAACTAGGAAATTCATTTCTTCAATTTTGAAATACTTATTCTCTATACATAGGTTTTTTTTTTTAAAAAAAAAGAATAGCATCTCTGAAGATTAGATGAATATTATTAAAGTAAACATCTTTAGGAGCTCCAAATTAATCTATTAAGGTCCAAAGCAGTTTGCATGCAAAATACATCTTTGATCTCTTCTAACAGAAGGTGTCCTTCTACCATTTTTTTGCAGCTGGCAAATGATCCAGCCTTCCCTTCCCTTATGCCAGGGAAAAACTTGGCTCTTTTATGACTTGTGGACTTCAACTCCCAGAATTCCTAAATCAGGCACGCTGGCTTAAGCAATGTGTGATTTGGTATGGGATGTGAAAAGGTATAGGTTGCTTCACTTTGTTGTTGTTAGTTGTGAAGTCATGCCCGACCCATCACGACCCCATGGACAACATTCCTCCAGGCCTTCCTGTCCTCTACCATCTTCTGGAGTCCATTTAAGCTCATGCCTACTGCTTCAGTGACTCCATCCAACCACCTCATTCTCTGTCGTCCCTTTCTTCTATTGCCCTTAATATTTCCCAGCATTAGGCCCTTCTCCAGGGAGTCCTTCCTTCTCATTAGGTGGCCAAAGAACTTGAGTTTCAACTTCAGGATATGGCCTTCTAAAGAGCAGTCGGGGTTGATCTCCTCCAGGACTGACTGGTTTGATTGCCTTGCAGTCCAGAGGACTCGCAGGAGTCTTCTCCAGCACCATAGTTCAAAGGCCACCATTCTTTTGTGCTCAGCCTTTCTTATGGTCCAACTTTCACAGCCATACATTGCAACTGGGAAAAACCATGATTGGAAGCCACACTGGCTGGCTTTATATCTCCAAAGTCAAAATCGAATAAATCATATGATGGTTTATTTTTCAGTGTAAACTAGGCCTTTTTCTTGATTCAGTAAGCCAGGGGTAAACCATGTCTGGTAACCCTTAGCACCATGTGCAAACCATAATTGTGGGAAGAAGGATCAGTGCTAACTATCTGTGGTTCTTCTTAGCACTAACACAGTCAATGGCATTTGCCAAATTTACTTAAAGCCATCATTACACTTTCAAGTTGTTCTAAGGATGGGCAGTTTTTCTTGAAATTCCGGGTACTTGCGTATCAAGTCATTCTTGGTATAAACTTCAAACTTCCACCGTCTCCTTTCTCCACCTCCACCCAACTTCCCATAAGATAACTTGCTCTAATCCTCACTCTAAACTTTGCCAAAGAGCTATAATCCTTCCCCAAAGAATAAACTGAAAAGGAAGAAGGAATGATCAGCTAAACTTGTCACAGATTCCAAGGGCAGACTGAAAGGAGGATAAATGTAAATAAGACTCAAGAAGGAAATAGGATACATTAGACACCAAACAATCCTTTTAGAAGACAAGGCTTTTGAACTGTAGGGCGAATATTGCCCCTCAGCAAAACCCCAGAAGTGGTTTAACTTCCATGATTCCTTTAAAAAAAAAACACGGGCTGAATTGTTTCACTGGGGAACTGGAGAAACTGCTGCAGAAATGGCCTCCCAGATGGTTAGACTAACAGGAAGGGTCACAGCAGCTTGGGAACTGCAGCTCTCCAACTTGTGCTGTGGTAGCCAGAAACCACCCAAAGGGTTTAGCTCTGCCAGAACACCAGCTCATCTGGCGTCAGGTCACTTGGTGGTTACAGAGAAATAGAAGAGGCCAAGCATATTACATGTCCGAAGGAGATACAAAGAAAAACCAGGTTCTTAATTAGTTATCAAGAAGCCAGCAGTGCAAAACTGGTATTAACTTATTGTAGATTTGTTTCTAATTCTTAAATTAGAATACTGTCAGAATACTGTCATATTCCCAATCCTGAAACATTCCCTTGCATATTCTTATTAACAGTAGAATGGAAGGATTGGACAAGGAAAATAGAGGTATTGGGTAAATAAATCGTGCACACAAACTTGGGTTTTCTTCTTTTCCCCTTCCAATTCATATTTCAGTTTAACGAGCCATTCTGAGTGTGAGACTAAGCCATAGACAAAATTACAAACAAAGTAGGTAAGGATAATCATACAGTTTGACCCAGTCAAATGCTTTACACTAATCAGAAGTTCTCTCCCATATCAATAGAGATGAGTTCACGTATGTTAAGTTATCATGTCATTTGTTTGATCTGAGATTCAAAACAAAATGCCAGCCCTGAGCATCCTTTTATTTAAAATGCCTCCAGGTACCACACAGTTCCTTGGATATCCTTACAAGTTAAAAATCCACCAGCTATATAAAGGATTAAATGAAAAGGAGAAGAGGATGGTTAAGATTAGAGAGAATGACAAGGAAGAACCTCACCCAGTTTGTGGTTAATGAGTAGTGTGACACACTCCGCAACAACCTTCCATGGAATAGGAAAGCTCTTCCCATTGCATTCATTTTATGAGAAGTGCCTACAACCTGCTCTCAAAATTCCTGATGGTCTCAGGGTCCAAACCCTTTACTGACTAACAAGACCTACCCATTTTTAAATGAAGTCCTTGCTCCTCTTGCTGTAAAATTCTCAAGTCATTCATTCATTCATCCATTCTAAGAGGAAATTCCTAGCTCTGGTTTGACTGGAAGCCAAGATCTTCCCATCTCTCTTTCCTCCCTTATTTAAGCAACTGGCCTTGAGCAAAGTCCATTCCTGCCCCTTGCCAGACAGATGGGAACCACATGGTGAGCAGTAGCTTAGGACAAGATGACATGGATCACAGGCATTCTTTGGCCTGGACAGGCAGCAGTTACCCTCCCAGGGAAAGAATCCAGTGGTCACAACCATCGGGTCTTCCCTGTCTAGAAGCCAGGAGAATGTGACCATAACCACAGTATAAGAAGGCACTGCCAGGAAGGCACATTCACATTTAACACCAGGATATTTGCTTACACATTTATACGTGCAACTGCATTTATTCCAATAATGGAAAGAATCACAGCAGAGACTAGAAAAGGGAAGGAATTGGGTGAAGAAAATTATTTTATGCCTAGTTAGACTTTTAAGCCCCTTTCATAATTGCAGTTGCCACTCCTTCACAACAGTTCTCTGAGGACACTTCAAGCAAGATAAATTGATTGTTCCAAGGTACTCGAATAGTTTCTTAACTGAGTGGGAGTCTAAATCTGAGCTGCTCCAACCTTAATTTAAAAACACCCCTAGCAAGGAAGATTTAAGTTCAGAAATGTCAGAAGCTGATCCCCATTTGGAAATGGACTGTCAACAATCAAGCAGTTTTTGTTTGCTTACCTGGAGCTTTTGATTCAATTTTAAGGCAAATCATCCCGCCTGATCTGGATGATCAATGCTTGACGGGAATTCTGAAATTCATAGTCCCTAAAAACTTGGAAAGCACCAGGTTGGGCAAAGCCCTTGTACAGACTATGTGATTCATTACTTCCAAGTCCATAGGGGAGGAGCTGGCACTTGTTTCTCTCCTGGCAAGTGAGTTAAAAGAAAAATGGATATGCAAGGAATGAAAAAGTGAAAATAAAGCAAAATTTAAAACAAAAAGGAGGGGGGGAAGTAACATGGAGAAAGCAAGAAGCATAGGAAGCTAAGAAGGAAAAGTGAAAACTACCTAAACAGACTAAGGAAATAAGAGTTAAGATTAGATGATAGACAGAGAGAGAGAGAGAAAGAGAGAGAGAATGGATCAATATACAGAAAATGGAAAGAGATAGAGAGAATTGATGGCTAAACAGAAGATGGATAGATGGATTAAATGATGATAGATAGATAGATAGATAGATAGATAGATAGATAGATAGATAGACAGACAGACAGACAGACAGACAGACAGACAGATAGGAGAGAGAGAGGGATGGATGGATGGATGGATGGATGGATGGATGGATGGATGGATGGATGGGTGGATGGGTGGGTGGATTACTTCCAGGTAGGCACCATGACTCAAATAATTTGGATGTTGCATTACTTATTCAGGAAAAACAATTTTTCAAGCCAAGTCAGGTGCTGTTCTGCTTGAATTGCCTAGGCTATTCCCAGACCATCGATCCATAAGCACTGCCAGGAATGTGGAGGAGAACCTTATTCTTGTTCTACTTTGGGGGACAGCTATCTCTCAGCAGCGTTCAAACAAGCAAGGAGGTCATTACAGAGCGGGCTGTGAGCAATCCCACATGTTTTGGGACACAGTGTGAGAAGAAGAAGGGTTTCCCTTTCCTTCTCCTCTGCACCCCCCCCTCAAAGCAAAGAAGAGGGGAAAGAAAACAAACCTTAAAACTCCCCGGCCCTGCCAATCTGTATTGCTAGTCTTTGGGTCACTGGTTCCACTGTGTTGAAAAGTCTGCGCAACAGGGGAAAGTCTGGGCTAGGAGTTCTCACAGCCGCCTTGGCTGGCTTCAGTTCCCCAGCGGTTGAGAAACTAAGAACCTCGTAAAGAGCTCTGACGAAAGCAGACACATGGTGAGAAGGAGGGAGGGGGTCTTCATGACCGCAAGGAAAATCTCTCTTTTGAGAACAGACATGTTTTTCTTCCAAGAGATGTCATGAGATCTTTTCTCCTCCTTAGAATTTCCTCTGCCTGGCTCCTGCTGGCTGATGCAAATGGATTCAAAAGGGCAGCGGGCCCAGCCCTCCAGATGAGTAAGTAAACTGACATGGGGAGTGGAGCTGGAGTAGGAAGGGGGAGGGAAGGAGGAGATGAAAGGCAGGCAGAGAGGGCCTTTGACTGAGTCTCCCGCATGCCTGGTGCATGCAGTCAGAGCAGAAGGCTTGGACTCGGCTTGACAAAAAAACGGGGACTGAGTCAGCCGGTTAGTAAACACTGCATTTGCCCACATGTGGCTGGCAGCTACACCTGTGCAAAAGGAGATGGGATAGCTCCAATTCTCGAGCCCGCCAACTCTTAATCGAAAAGATGGAGAGCAATGCTTTGAAATAAGCGTGCAACGAACTCCAGAAAGGAATTTCAAGAAAAGCAGGAAAAAAAGACACAGACATGAAAAAAAAGGGGGGGGCCTTTGCCAGGATCGTAGCATTGCTGACCAAATCAGATGCCTCTGGAATCCCACAAGGACAGCATCTGCAAATTCTGCATGAAATGAATCTATTAAGAAAGCTTAAATTCTGCAACTTTCCCATGCTGTTTAAGCAGGCACTCCAATGTGCGTTTATCCTACTTGGTTCAAACTGGCACCTACATCTCTACCATTATGCTTATGACAAAGAGTGGGAGGGAAAGGCTTCTAAACAGCCATTAAGCCTAATACAGTGGTTTTATTGATTATTCATTTGATTTTTATCCTGCCTTTTTTTACTTCATCAGTAACTCAAGGCGGTGAATATACATATTGTGCTCTTTCCATCTCCTATTTCCCCACAACAACAATCCTATGAGGTGGGTTGGGCTAAAAGAGAGCCCAAACTTTCATGCTGAGGGTGGGACTAGAACTCACAGTCTCCTGGTGATTGGCCAGTTTTTGTGCCTAAAGCAGGATTAGAACTCACAATCTTCTGGTTTCCTGCCCAGCAACTTCACCACTATAACAAACTGGCTCTTCATTCTCTCGACTTTAATCTGTTTCCTACATTAGGTTCACAGATTGCAAGCCACCCAATCCTTGGCTTGAATTTAAGTCACACATGTATGTATGTACGTATGTGTGTATGTATGTATAGATTTATATGACTGCCCAACTCATATATGTTACTCTGGGCCAAGTACAACATTAAAAAGTCAACAATATAAAACCTTAGAAATTACACACACACATGCACACCCTGAGGCAATGACAAATAAAAACAAACAAACCACTTGATCAGCTCTGATTCAACCTGGTGTTTTCAGGTCCACTGACAAAACCATGTCTTTAGGATCTTCCAGAAAAATAGCCAACTTATTTCTGGGAGAATAATGTTTCAAAGAGAGGGAGTCACTGCAGAGAAGGCCCTTCTTCTAGATCCCATCAAATCTATTTTTTAATAGATGGATTCTAAAACATAACCTGCCTTCCCACTTAAATGACACAGGTAGATGTAACTGGGGAGAGGTAGTCAGTAGCTTAGTACTTATTCATTCATTCATTTGTTCGTTCATTCCTTTATTTATTCATCAAATATGTTTAGCCATCCATTTCACCAAAAGAAGAAGAAGAAGAAGAAGCAATTCTGGGCAGCGTGCAACAATAAAACAACAAATATAAAAACAACAGATATAAAACTCCACATTAAAAGGTAAACTTAGAAACAAATTTGAACACAGCCAATCGGGACTTAATTAATAATGTATGGCTTTGTGCAGTTTGTGTATTCAATCCTATAATTTAGTTTTCTCCTTCTTAAGGGAGTGTTCTGCAACTTGGTACAGACTGCAACTGCTAGACTTCCCAGCTAGGAAAGGAATTCTGTAGATTCAATTCATCTTGAGAGAACTGGACCATGTAAGCGCCTGCTGAGACCTGATTTTCCCACCAAAGGGCTGTGATGGTGGCTTATTCCCAGGATTTCTTTGTCTGAAACAACAACCTACCCGCTAATATTTCAACCTCCGACTTGTTTATAGGATGGATGGATGAATCAGCACTTGGAATGGACAGAGAAGAAAGCAATGCAGAACTTTGGCATAATGAGGGGATCTTATTCCGGTTCAACATTTAAAAGTTCATGGAAACAATAGCAGGTGTCTTTGTCTGTACAGTTAAACATCCAAAATATAAGTATGTACTAACTGACTAATGAGGCTGAGATGTCAAGGAGTGACTAGGGAAATTTGCTCATTAAGCATTTGCAAATTACTTTTGTCTGCAAAGAGAACTTATAAAAGGGAAAGGAATCACGGCTCAGTCTTAAAGATCTTGCTTTGCATGAAAACACTCCCAAATCTGATTAAATTCTAAACGTGTTGAAACTTTTAATTCCGTAACTTATGTGTACTAGGTGTACACATAAACTACTCTCCAAAGGATAATCATTTACAATTACTCTGTAAATGAGCAATCACATTGGGTGATTTACAGCAGGGGTCCCCAACCCCCCCCCCCGGTCCGTGGACTGGTATCAGGCCACAGTATGCCAGCAACCAGTGCGCACAAACAAGCAAAGCCCCATCCGTGGGATGCAGGCAGCACACAAAACCACGCACTTTCTGGTCCGTAGGAAAACCTTTGTCCACGGAACCAGTCCCTGATGCCCAAAAAGTTGGGGACCTCTGATTTACAGTGCACACTAAGTCAAAAGAAAATAGAGCCTCACTATGATTTAATACAGTGTATGAAATCAGCCAGTGTGTTGCAAAAGTTTTTAGCCTGATTTCTACTTCCTGAAAAATATAAGATCAGCTTGTATTATATTATCAGACTAGAGCCCAAAATGAAGACAGCCTTTTCTTCCTCCCAATGACCAACCAAATACCTTTGGGGTGGTCACAAATGGTAGAGTAGTTGGTGATATGCCACCCCTGCTTGGAGACAATATGAAGTCTTCAAGGCCAGTAGCTCTTAATACATCTGGCATCCATGAATTTATCCAATCCCTTTCAAAGCCAGCCAAGTTAGTGGCCATCCCCATGCTTTGTGGTTTCTACAAGTGATTCTGTACTATACAAATAACTAATTTCTAAACTTCTTTCTAATCAGTTTCACTGGATAGCTGGGGGCCCTAATGCTTTGAGAACAGGCAGAAACAACTCTCTGTGTACATTTTCTCCCTGCTATGCATGGTTTTTTTTTTTTCCTTTATGACTCCCGTTGGCTTCCCCCCCCTTTTTTTTTCCCAAGATAAGGTATTTCCAACATTTTAGTTTTACATAATTTCAATAGGGACATACAATAAGATTTGTACAAGAACATTACTATTTTGGTATTTTGGTTTTCAATCTCATTCCTAGCATGGAATTTGCCTTTTTCAAAATCTGCTGCACATTAAGTTACACCTTAATTGACCTACCCACTATATCTTTTTTTTTTTAGTTAGTTAACGACTGCTCAGCCCTGATCATTTGATTGACAATTGTCCCAATTTAGAAACCTTTATGGAGCTTCCAGAAATAGGGGTTCCTTGGTGCTCTCTGAGCTTGGCTGTTTTCTTGCAGACAGTTCATTACCCAAATTAGGTAACATCGTCAATGCTAATGATGTTACCTAGTTTGGGTAATGACATGTCTGCAAAAAAAAAAAAAAAGAAGAACTAAGTTCAGAGAGTATCAAGCAACTCTCATTTCAGCCCTGAGCTAGGAATATTCTCCTTTATTGGAAATAGAAATATTTTGGGTATTTATCATCTTGGATAACTCTGAATCATCTGTAAACTCAGCCAGTTTATAGTCTGTTTATATCAGGGGTGTCAAACTCAATTTCATTGAGGGCCGCATCAGCCTTGTGGTTGCGCTCGGGGGGGCAGGTGGGTGTGGCCAGAGTGGGTGCAGCCACTGGGTGGGGCATGGATGGAGTGGGTGTGGCCTACTGGGTGGGTGTGGCCAGCTCTACATCGTTCGCGTCAAGGGTGCCTATGGGGGCCTGGGCAGGAGTGGGACAGATCTGAGGGTCTCTGGCAAAAGGGGGTGGGACCAGGGCAGGCGCCAAGGCATGGTGCATTTCTTCATTCCTCACAAAGGGTGACACCTCCCCAGCATTCACCAAGGGGGCGGGCGGCAGGGGCTGGTTCCTCGCTGTTTCTGGACGGCCTTGTGGAGCTAAGACTGAATGCATTTCAGCATAGATGGCCACCACAAAATTGTACATTGGCTCCCAGCTGGCCTGGGCCAGGGCCAAGGCAGCGGGGGCCGTTCCCTCACTGTTCCCAGGATGGCTTCGAGGACCACATGAAACCACTTTGCGGGCCGCATCCGGCCCCTGGGCCTTGTGTTTGACATGTCTGGTTTATATCAACTTCCTAAGGAGGAAGTTTCAAAGCATTTGTCCCAACCCAGATCCCACTTCTTAGTTTCCCACCTCCCTCGTTAAAAAAAAAATCCCCATTAATTTTGATCCACACTTTTTCTGTTTCTTAACCAATTAGTAATTCATAAAATCAGGATAAGGAACTTTGTCCAAGGCTCTTTGAAAATCCAAGTAAACAACATGGAGAGTGGGATTTCCATCCATGACACTCCCAAATAAAAGAAACCTCTTTAAAGGCCTGGTGAGGCAATATTCACCTTTGCCATGCTATTTTTGCTCCAGGAAGGTTTATTACTGTGGTCTCTTAAATTGTTTTGCTTATTGGGATTCCTTATCTTTCTGGACCTAATCCACATCACTATCTCTAAGAAACGATGAAGCTGCAGCCTTTAAGAGCCCCGTTCCATAATCTTCAGCAACAGAGTCTTTAGCTGTGGGATTATGAGGAAAATGTCTATGCAGATTCTCAGTCATCCAGGTCATGGTTGTCCCAAAGGTGCTTTTTCAAAAGGCAACTGGACTTTCTTTTTCTTCGGCTCTGAAGATGTTTCTTGGGTGAGAAGCAAAATATCTTCAAGGAGAAACAAAGGAAGTTCAGTTGCCTTTTGAAAACGCATCTTTGAGACATTATGGGGAGAACTAAAGAGCAAGACATCTGAAAGACACCAATTTAGAGAAAATTACAGTAGGATAAGAATGCTCAGAATAAAGGCTGAAGGTACCTTAGAGATCCCTCCAATCCCCTACCAAGACAGAACTTGGCCTTTTTATGACTTGTGGACTTCAACTCCAAGAATTCCTCAGCCAGGCACACGTGGCTGCCCTATACCATCTCGGACAAATGGTTGTCCAAACCTTTTTTTGAAAACCTCCAGCTGTAGAGCATCCACAACTCTGGGAAGCCAGCTGTTCAATTGATCAATGATTCTCACGACAAAATTTACAATATTAGAGAAGATCTTGGCTTTGCCTATACACAAATGCCTTCAGCAATGGCCAAGCTGGTCTGGAGTGAATTTTCTACAATATCACCAAATCTACAATAACAGATCTTTCCTTCCTGAGCAAGGAGACGACAGTGGAGTCAATCTCAGCATTTTGTGCTGCACAGTAGACATTAAAAAAAAAAAAAAAAGATCTTTTCTCCCCCCAAGTTTTTCAGATATAAAAATGAAACAGAAGTAAAGAGTGTGAGAGACAGAAAATGTGTGTTCTCCCAAAGCATAATTCAATATTCAAATAAAGGACCATGATAAGCTTCAAAGACTGGATTCTATTTTTATCACCATAACTGAAGAAGCTGTGGGGGAAAAAATACATAAAATGTTTCTTGATTTTTCCCTCCATTTCCAGTTTGGATTCTGCCTGTGTCTTCATGTGAGCCAAATATTTTAATTACTACTACTATTAGTTATTTGACAGCCTTACTCCATCCGTCTTAGTAGCTGTAGACATAATTTGCCCTTCTCTTTGTCCTCACAATAAGCCTATATGATAGGCTAGTCAGAAATAAGGACTTCTCTATCCCTTGAAGTTTGCAAATTGGCTCAGATCTCATTCGTATTATCAGTCAAGGCTGGGTCATAGTCTGAATGCTAGAGCAATTCAATTTTCTGAATTCATTTGGGGGAAAGTAGTCTTGTACGCGGACAAAAATTATTCTAAATTGTTGAATGCATTTGGTTGGAGTCGTCCGCTTTGATCTGAATATTCCGTCTGGAGATTTGGACAGTAATCTATAGATTTCTGTAAAAATACCCCAGAAAACTGAATCCCCAAAGCAGGTTCAAACTGAACACTTTAATCAAAGCTTTCTTTAGCCATACTATCTCTGCCACTATCCTGTAATTTGTTACATTTTCATTTCATTTGTTTAGAAACCTGGATTGTTTAGAAATGAACATGTTTCTAAAGGCTAGGATTTACTTTTATTCCGCTAATCGCTGCAAAGGCATTTTTTTTACAAAAAAAATCAGTGTAACTTAAAGAAAACAGCTTTAATCCTCCCGTTTCTGTTTTTCATTACAATTGTTCACAGCAGGGACCACCAACCTCTAAAGCAGTTTTGATTATACACGCTACCATTCTATGTTACATCTATATTTGCATACATTTCTCTAGTTAAAAGGGGTCACAGTGTTACTCCCTAGAGATTTGTCCAAATAAGAACTCAGATAAAGTTAACAACTGTGATGAAATAGGATCTGATTCATCTGAGAAAAATGGGCAATCCAATCCACGCTTAGGCTAACCTATCTTGTACAACTGTAACAAAGCCTGCTTATTATGCTCATATGTCGCAGTGGTCATAACATGGGTTGGTCAGGTGACCAACTCAATTTTATGATCTTTTTTTGGTGGTCATTAAGCAAATGTGGTGGTTGTATAGCAAACGCCACAGTCATTAAGCGGATCAATATTTCCCAAGGATGTGATTTTGCAGAAACTGAAAATGTTGAGTTTTTGGCAGACCCATTGTAGAGTAGAGTAGAGCAGAGCAGAACAGAATAGAATAGAATAAAGCTGGAAGGGACCTTGGAGGTCTTCTAGTCCAGCCCCATGCTCAAGCAGGAGAAACTATACCATCTCAGACAATGAATATCTAGTCTCTTCTTTAAAATCTCCAGTGATGGAGCACCCGCCATTTCTGGGCGTAAGCTGTTCCACTGGTTGACAGCGAGGACAATCAACCAGTGGAACAGCTTACCCCTCAGAAATTGTGGGGGTAAAATTGTAAAATGTGGTGACATGACCGTGGGCTACAGACTTAAATGCAGCCATGTTTCAGAGAGTCTAAACTTCAGTCACATGACTGCAGAAGGGTCCTGACTATCAGAACTTAAAATCTGGGACCCCTTTTTTCGTGTCAGTCACAACTTTGAGTGGTTGCTAAGCAACTGGTCATAAGTCAAGAACTTCCTCTAGGCAGAAAATAAGTGT